TTTGGAATTATATATTTTGCTTCACGTTACTCAATGCAGACCTCTCAACTTATTTAGAAAAGAAATAAAATTATCACACAACAATTTTTTTTTAGCAAAAACAAAAAAAAAACAAAAAAAGTTGGTCTTGTTTATGATTTTCTGACGTCAAAATAAAGTTTATGATTTGCTGGTTTGTCATCTTTTTAATTACTCTACTAAATTTGAGTTCTCCGGATAAACGATAAGCTACAAGACTTATAGAATGGCTGGACATTTCTGTTTGGTTCAGTTTTGGTCCATAAATATATATATATATATATATATATATATATTTGAATGAATTGTTATATATATATATATGTATGTGCATCATATATTACACTACATATTTGAATGAATTGTAATACATGTAATTTAATTGTTAGCTAAAAGCCTACAACTAAGTAGAAATTGAAATCCTTAAAGATAAGACTTGAGACGTTTTACGGATTTCTTTTCTTAATTATAAAAATATAGAGTACCAAATTGACTCGTGTCGTTTCTTTCCTTTTTGAAGTGGTCAACAACAAGTGTCAAAGCTTATATTATATTAAACTGATTCTTTACGGTGCCAAAAAGAAAGGGAAAGGAGTTTACAAAAGAAATCAAACAATGTAAATTAGCAATATAAATTAATAATGAAGGATCACTTTCATGTAAAATGTAAATAAATAGAAAATTAATCATCAGTTAGTTATTGAGAAATCGGTAAAGATGATATCTTCGCCAGAATTAAATCGACTGCATGGATTGATGTCAAAAAGTACGATATTATAAGATTTAATTTCCAGTTGTTTGAGTATTCGACTAATAATATAACAAATAATCCTCATTTTTCTATATGAAACAATTTCGTACCTATTATTTTTCAACCCAAATATAATTTAAGTAGCTGTAAAGGCTAATATAAGTTGTTACGGAATTAGATCCAAAAGATTTGGACCCTTTTAATAAAAATTTGGAAGATGTTGATGTTTGCAAAAAAAGTGAGAAGAATTCTATGGAATATAACTAAGACATATTTTTAAATTTCCACAATAATTTACTGGACCACTCTATTCATATAGTCCAGGGGGAAATTATAGTTTGGCAAAAAAGAAAGGCTTGCTTTCATAATTAGTTTTGAATGAAATGTTTTATGAGTTATATTTGGAATAAGAGTTTACTGTTTGTGCATAGATATTATATAACGTCACATGCTCACCTCTATAGAATGTGGACCATTAATATAGCTTAAGTCGAGGAGGATGATGGGGAACAAAAATTATATTATCTTATCACGAGTTATGTCGATGGTTTATTATATTGTAATACAATAATATAATGATTTTTTTTGTCGAACGACATATACCGCATGTATTCAATGGTTTTTATCAATATGCATTCTACAAACAATATCTTCATATGATCAAGGCAGGTAGTTAAAACAACAATATCTTGTGAGACAAAAGATGTTATATATTAAAGTAAATATGTTCAAAATGTATAAGATCTTTGGCATAGAAGGAATGAAGACCATAAACCGGTAGTAGCCTAACTGCCTAATTTATGCATTCTCATATATATGTAGTTTAAACTAAACAAACCTTTATATCCTGTCGTTTGGTAACTTTGGTTTATGGGATAAACCATATTATCCGATATAGATAGAGTAAATAAAGTAATCTATTATTCAAAAGTTATGGACCTATGGTTTACACATTGCACATTTGCACTAATAATTAAAGGGAATCTATATATATCGTTAGAATTAACTTGTCGTGGGATCTAAGACATCAATTACGTATATCTTATAAATTTGTTTAAATGCACATGTTTCATTTTATATATCTTTTAAGTTATAAGATTACATCCCTTTACAAATCCAAAAATGAGTTTCAATTCACTCTATATTACTTATTCTAATATAACTCGATAATCTTCAAAAGCATGTCATCAAATAAGAATCTTATCAAATGACGCATGAGAACAAAGAGGATTTGTCAGTTGAATGGGAAACGTTATGGAGGAGAAATTAGAAGGCATCTTAACTCGTAAAATATTAGACAAGTAGATAGTTAACGTCCATCGTGTTTGAGAGACGCAAACTCAATAAATTTATATTTCGTCAGTTTGTTACCATCAATTAATATATTGATTGGCACTGATCGTCGACTCACTGACTTTACAATTTTAGACTTTAGCATCGAAATCAGAGATATATTTAGTTTGCGGCGAAAATAATATACGTATAGTTTTCCAACGCCGAACAAAAGTGGAGTATTGTCCAATTAAAGGACATATTATATCTTTTAAAGTCTATTAAAGTTTTATTTATTTAAATTCTAAAGAAAACAAAACATTGATTATGTCAGGAAAAAAAATAAAGCAAGCCAGACGTTTGGTTGGCTCGTGAGTTAACGTACCCTGCCGAGAACGCACGCTAATATAAATAAAAAAAAAAGCCCATTATCGTCCGACAAACCCCCATTAGAATTATTTTCCCGGCAAGCCCATTAGATACCACCAATTTGACGATTTGAGCACGACTTATCTAAAACCATCCACAACCCTGAATCCTATGATAGAGTTCATTAGCATTTTTTAATAATTTTTGTATGAGAAAGAATGTGGAAAAACCTTGGATAAACTTGAGTGAAAAATGAGCATCCAACCCTGATACCCAATTAGAGATTCAACAGAATAAAATAATAATATTTTTTAACTACTTAAGCAAAACATTCAATGAAACCTAAAAAGCAATATCCAATCACATAATTTTATCATCAAGAACCCTAATTTTATCATCAATTTTTAAACCCCTAATAGGAGTAATCCGGAACCGATTGAATATAAAAACAATGAATCGCACTCAAATCTTACTAAACACCAAAAGCCCCAAAACAAAAGTGCCCGCAGAACCCTAATTTTCCCCCAATTTAGTTAACCCTAGTCTCGATTCAAACTCCTGAATAAAACGAAATTAAAATACATCAAAAGAAACAGATGACGTACCTTACTGATCCACCGGAGGAGAAGCGACGATTCACCGTCGATTCGATCGAAGAGGAAGACTTGTGTCGAAATCGCGATATCGCAAATCGCCTTTGGGAGTTTTTTTTTTGACAAAAACAGAATGCGAAATAAACCCTAACCTTCGACCCCGACTCTAAAAAATTTCCCCCAAACTACACCCAATCACTGCTTGCCACGTAATCCGTTGAACCTCGACGATACGGGCTCGTCAGACTCATCCCAATGAGACGGTATCAGCGAGTTTTTGGACCTAATCGATTAAAAAAAATTAAAATAATAGTATTGGGCCCCACGGATGAACTCTGCCCATCCCGCGTTGTGATGGTCTAATAATCATATTTTTACTAAACTAAAGAGTGAATTAGTATTATTTTAATTAGTTTCATTTAGATTTGCTGTGGTTTTGTGCGGATTTAATGGTTTCAGTGGCTTTTGGCCGTCACTAGCGTAGTAGCGTGACATAGTAGTAATTATTCTAATGTGGTTTTTACTTTGATGATAATTTCAATGTGTAATATTCCAACGTTTGAATAAAATAATCTTTAGACCAAGGTTTTTGATTAATAATCTTGTGGAATGGCGGAATTGCAGAAATTTTTTTGCGGAATAGTTTAAGCTACTTATAAGTCACTTTTATGTGGAATAACTTTTTTTTTTATTTTCTTTAAGTAAAATGCAGTCTGCATTTTTATGTGTATTTTTTTATTCCATAGATTTTTGTTAATTGGAAAAAAATCTGTGAAATTGTGTTTAAAAATACAATTCGGTCATTTCGCAGGTTACCAATCATAGTCCAAAAAGAATGAATTAGCTCATTAGCCATACTGGGAAAAAAAAACTTATAACCATAGCAAAAATGTAATTATGTGCCTAACCAAATGTTTTTTTCTATACAATGTTTCTTTGAAAATACAATTAAGTTTGTAAGACGTACGTGCACACGTGGTGGTAACGGTAATGCTGATTGGGCAAAATCTGCATGGAAAGCCACAAGAATCTCGTATCATGTCATATTTACGAGGTCAACTTGAGAGGTCTTTACTCTCTTAAACCTATAAACAAAATAGTCAAAAGACTCAAAACTAATTCCGGTGTTTTTTTTCATCTTATGTTCTTTTTCTTTTTTAATCAATGATGTTGTCATAAAGAACAAAAAAAGGACTACAAAACATGTAATGACGATGCAGTGTGCTATCACCAAAGGTTTTAAAATCTGCATTTATTTTTTGTTTTTGTCTTTTGGTTGTTCGATTTACATTAAGCAATCACCCTTTGTACCAATAGAGATTTGAACAAAAAAAAGGTATATATTAGTCAAGCGTATCCAAACTTTGAAATGCATGTGATTCTTAATATAGATGAATACTGTACTGTAATGCTGTATTACAATAATTATATAGTGTAATGATCAAACATCTGTATTTCATCCTCTCTATTTTTTCAATTAAAAAAAAATGATTAAACATCTGAAAACATTTTCCCCCACCCGGAATACCTCATACCAAATTGATAATGTGTGAATTAACAAATTGAACTCAAGTATAGGAATCAATCATTTGGATTATATTAAATTTTATGAAATTTCATAATAACTGGTCTCCTTGTCACGTCGCGACCACCTTTTGTGACTTTTTTATTATAAACATTCTCAAGGATAGATAATTTGTATACCGATATTTTTTTTTTTTCACTTGCTTGTAATATCCTCATTTCTTAATAACAATCCCCCTCGCAGTTTCACAAAATAAATATTTAACAACATAACTCCATCGAACCTCCAAATCAATAAACTAAAATTAACAAATGTTGTAACTCAAATTCAAAAGATTAAGGAAATAAGGAATAAATCAAACTTTGATCAGTTATTATCACAACCACAAAAAGAAGCTTCTTCTCCAAACTCTTCTTATATAAGCATCAATGCAGCTCCATCTCTCTCACTCATCACTCTCATATCTTTTACATTAGCTCCTCTTCGGATTTATTCTCCAATGGCGTCGATCAGTTCCTCCAATAATCACCTTCCGATGAGCAAGACACGATTAAAGCCGTTGATTTTGAGAGATTACCTTCTCGATGATCTCAGCTCTTGCTCATCAAACGGCTTCAAATCCTTCCCTCGTCGTCAATCCTCCACCGTCCGTCGTCTCCTCGACGCCGAGATCAGACGGTCACGAATATTCCAAAATAAACGGCGTATCATCTGCGGAATAGCGTTTACTCACGCCGTTCACAAAGCTTCGACGACGTTACTCAGCGCCGTTAAAATCTTGCCGCTCCCTTCCTCCTCCGTTAAATCTCCGTCTCCGTCTACAAAGAAAGGTCTTTTATCGAGGAGCTTCTCTCGAAGCTTCTGGAAGAAACTCTCCCGCCGCGAACTCAATAACGTCGACGGAGAAGTCGAAGATGATCGTGAACTAGAGATCAAACGATGCAAATCATTCGCCGAATTTCTCCAAGAGAGTCTAGATCAACCGTCGGATCGGATTTCTCAAGTTTCTCCGACGGATTCAAAAGTTTCCGGTGAAGCGACATTGTCGAACGCAGCCGGTGGTGACTCAGGGAGTTTCGGTAGCGAGTTATTCACGAACTCGGAGGCGACTCAGTTATCATCGAGCGGCGAATCTGAGACGTCGAACGAAAACGACGCCGTGGAAGACAGAGGAGTAGTAGTTATGAGGAGTGGGGATTGTGTAGGGTCACGTGTCAGTGACGGATCGTCTGTCAACGACAACAGAGAGGTTAGTTAGTTATTATTTACTAACTAACTTTCAAAGTTTTTTTTTTTATTATTATTTTGGTCTCTGTTTTGCTTGTCCAATTGTCATCCGCCACGTCACACCGCAGATAATTCCTACAATGCACCAAACCATTAATATCACCAACTAATAACAACATAAACCATTTTGCTGAAGTAATTTTAATTAGTGTAGTTGGAATTTTTTTTTAAAAATTGTCGGTTCGTGCGTGCGAGTCACGTATGGGGTTATTAAGGACTTGAGATTTTGCCATTATGCAAATCAATAAGTATGAGCGATGATGAAATCGATGGCTGTGATTCTTCTTGGTGGCTTCGAAAGCGGATTCTACGGATGATATCACACACTTCCCGAGATTAATTTGGTGTATACGTAATTTATTACATTAAATCTCTCACACTCTTAACACAAAAGTTTTGGAATTAGAAACGTTGTTGTCATTAAGTTGGGGTTGACTTTGCCAACTCACTCTAGTGTAGCTAGTCCTCATTTCCAACATTTCACTTGATTTTTTTAGTTTAATATATTGATATGATTCAATGACTTGTATATTGTAGGAATGCGTGAACGAAGAAAAAGAACAACTCAGTCCAATATCGATCTTAGAATGCCCATTCGAAGATGATGAAATCACTCCTCATCATTCGCATCAAAATGGTAAATTCACCGATTATACCTTCATGTTCTTGTTTCTGTATCATATGATTAAAAACTACTGTTTGTTGCGTTTTACTCCTTCTATTTCACAAAAAATATCATTCTAATTAAGATTTTGTTTCTGTTTCAATAAATAATAAATAGTGTTACTAAGGTACTTTTAATGCAAAATTTGTCTTTAAAATTCAGTTTTAACCTTATCTTTTATTGTATTAATCAGAGAGAAAAAAATTGTTTAATATATTGATGAGGGATAAAACAGAATTTTTATTACTAGTTATATATCTTCATTTATGTGAAATGTGTCAAAATGACACTTTGGGAGTAATACTTGATGAAGATGACAAACACAAACATGCAAACACAGAAATAAAAATAACAATTTCGTTGACCTCTTTTGGGTCAAATACCTTTATTATTTTCAAATGATGTTTGATTAACAAAAAAATTGATAGCGAAGATTTTATCTATAAAACGCAAAGGTAACCTTTTATAATATGACATTTACAGAAACCGAGGAGAAGAAGCTATTGAGAAAGAGCAGAAGATTTGAGGGTCTGGTACGACTTGAGCCTGTGGATTTAGATAAACGCATAGAGCAATATGTGCAAAGACAAAGACATGTTTATGACTCTCATCACATGGTAGAAAAAGAAAAAGATCAATCCGAAAACCAAGCAAACCGTTTGTTTTCTCGAGTGAAGTCTAGATTTATCGAGGAACCAAACCATTTACTAGCATCTCACAAGGTAGACAATCTCTTGCTTGATTATTTCAAAGAAAATGGGGATAATGAGACAAGAGACGATGATAAGTTGGTGAAGATAGTTGAAGAATGGGTGATGAGGACACAAGAAGAAGAATATATGTTTATGAGTTGGGAAGTCAGAGAGAAGAGAGAGATTTATGTGCAGGAAATGAGATGGGGTTGTATCAATGGAGATGAGATAAAGTATGTGGTTGAAGAGTTGGGGAATGGTTTCATCACTTTCTTGATTGATGAACTTATTCTTGATTTATCGTTGTGAGAATAACATTTTTGTCACATGTTCGTTATCATTCATTACATTCTATATGTGATATGAAATTTAAGATATACTGTATATGTTAATTATCTTAAAAAATGGCATGACCGTATGAATGGTTGTTTGTATTGTAGTGAGTGTATCACCATCCAAATCAGATTTAGTAAATATACACACTATTTGAGTTATTGGTAAAAGTTCAAACAATTTAGAAATAAGGCTTTTTTTCTCCAACATGGTAAAAAATTAACCATTTATATTAGATTCAGTTCTATTTTGATTATTATTATTATATTTAAAAACCTGAAATTCAATTCTAAACTTGATAGTGGACTAAACCATCTATAACCTAACATCTACTATATCGAATATCAACAAAAAATTAAAGAAATATCAAATTTGAAAATGTAAAGCCAATAAGTAATTGTCGCGTTGATGTAGAGCTAAACTTCCAAATATCTTAAGCAAAGGTAATATAGAACCATTAAGGGCCTAGGGTAAAGTTATGTTTGGGCTTTAACCACTTTGCTTTAGTGATGATTAAGATGGTATTGAAGTGATTGTGATCGTTGATCAAAAATTTTCTAAATTGTATATTAGTTCGTAAAAATCGAGGTTATGGCCCGTTATACCCCTTCATCTGTATTCGTCCTGATAATAGTCTTGGATAACTAATCATTTCTAAAAGATATGAGTATGTTGCACGATCGTACTCAAGAAAATATAAGTTCAGATTTATTCAGTACAAGTAGACCACTAGTTAAAATATATTTGTTAGTTAGGAAGGTGGTGCAACATACTCATATAGTTGAGAATGAACTATATACCATTAGGCTAATTTGGACAATGTTGAAGGCGATTCCACCCAATTTTTCAGATAATTGTGTTTGTATGTACATTTGCTTTTTTTTTTTTTTAGTTTGTCTTATTTGTTCATTTCGTTAATAACAATATATAATTATAAGTATAACATTATGTTCTTTGTCATTGTTGGTTCAGTGAGGAGATACAGTTTTATCTTTATTGTTTTAATACAAAATATCTTTTTAATATATGCATAACATACACAAACAAAAATACAAACTAGAGTATCCGCAAAACATCCCAAATAGCGAAATTAATTATTGTTTTTCTAAAATAACGAATAATCATTCCATTATTAACGAGACCAACCAAATGTCACATACTAGATAATTGTCGCAGAGAGAGACACTTAAACGGATGAGAAAATTTGGATACATGAAAACTTGTTTACTAGCAGTATTTTATAAGATTTGAATAATATGCATTTGTCGCGCTTACCAAATATTGCGACATATTACCAATCATTATATTTTTAATGCATGCACATATGACATATTTTTATACCATAGAATTTGTAGAAGATGATATATGTTCAAAGTTTTATTCTAATCAATTTTTAAGTTAAATGATTCTAAATGTTATTTATTGTGACCCAATATATCATCATATCCCTTTTATTAGTTGCAAGTTTTTTTTGGCATATACAGTATATCTTGAACTGTTATTCGATCAATGTCCATTAAAGGCGGTGAACTAATTCATTTTCCTACTAGTCTTAGATTTAAGATCTTTGATGAAAACTTCATGAATCTACTACGTTAAGTGGTTAACCTTTTTGGCTTTTTCATCTTTTGATGATATTCTGTAAAGTTTACGAGTACGTATCACCTATTCTACTTTACCAACCCTATTTCGGGCATTAACAGTGCCCATAATCTGAGATTAAAAATTTAAAAAACTAATTCATTTTTGGAAAGAAGGTGACGCATTAAAGAGACAGCAGTGTAATTGGATCTGTCTTCGGTTTGGTAAGATTCCGGTGCACGGCACAAAATGGCCGAAGCTGAGCCCACACTGTTTGACCGAACACCAATTGGATTGTTTCTCCTAACGACTTTGATTCGTTACTTTGCTGTCCATATATACTTTTTCTCGCGATATTTTTGTTTGTGAATTCGTTCATGATCGCTTGCTTCCAAACCCGAAAGTCTCCAGCCAAGTCTTCTGGTTATTATAAAACACACGAGTGATAATTTATTTCACATCAATTTTTTTTAGATTCATTTATTTAACTATTTATTTTGTCGGCCGGTTATATAATATACTTTTTATTTTTGATAATAACAATTCTATAATACCAATTGTGGATATATATCTTGCTGTTGATATTGAAAATATTTTGTTTTATTTGGCACGTATCATGTGTGGTGATCGTAGTTAGAAGAGAGAAGCTAATCAAGATCTTACATGTTGACGAGTTAGAGAAGTCGCGACTATATATTATCATCACCATTCACCCTTTAAGAGTTGAGGTGAGAATGATATAAGTTTTCTCATTCATTGTAAAATGGGGATTTCCATGAATGTTTAAGATTTTTCTGTTGGTCAACGATTATGACTTAGATTAATTCCTGATAAATATATGTCCTAATTTACATAACCAGAGCTACTATAATAAGATTTAACGCATTTAACAAATTATTTTAAAAGTAAACATTGAATAAAATCTCGAAAAATCTGATAAAATGGTAAAAGACAGGCTGTAATGGGCGTCTATTGAGGCAATGACTCACTTGTCTTAAACTGAAAAGTTGACTAATAGTAGCATTCATAGAATCATTATTTCTTCTCTCGTTTTCTCTCGAGATAATAACTTCGTTACTCAATTATGGAAAACGCCACCCCCACAAGTTTTATATTAGTTTCGAATAGCGTCTTTACTTTTATAATGTATAAAACAAGACCACACTGTTTATTTATTTACTTTAAATGAAGATTCGATGAAATCATGTATGATTCTAGTTAAGGTTAACGCAAAAAAGTGCAACTCTAATTTTTATCTTTTTTCACTGGAAAAAGTTTCCCAATATAGACAAATTTAGATGTTTCAATTTAGTCATGACATCTACTATTTATTTATAATCAAAACAGTTAAATAAATTAAATGCGATTTCATATCTACACAGACACAACAAAAGCATTTCAAGATCCCATTTCTTTTTTGTATAACCGGACTAAACCGGTAATTGGATACATGATATCATGCCACGCGGGGTGTTTAGTTCATTTGAAGGCTCAAAATATAAATAAAAATAAATTTGGGGGCACATTTGTAATGTTGAGATTTACCTGAAAGAAAAAGATTAAAAGAGAGCAAGAAAACGTAAAAAGAAAAAAAGAAGAAGAAGAAGAAGAACGTCTATTGGGAAAAAAACGTGTCACCGAGTGGCGAATCACGCGACGAGTCTCTTCTTCATCTTCATCTTCATGTGTTTTCCCCTTCGGTTTTAAAAGCTCCCTTCTTCACAAAATATCTATTTACTCTCTCTTTCTCTCTCTCTCGTCTTAAAGTTTGGACAGAGAGTCTTTAAGGAGTGAATTAGAGAAGAATTTGGTTTGGTTAGGTTCTGTTTGTGTTGTTTCAGTGATTACCCCTTTTTTGGGTTTTTGGTTATTAGTGAGTTTCCATGCGTTTGATCAATTCCTGGGTTTTTACTCTATTTTCTGGGTATCTTTTTGACCTTTGACTTCAAAAAATTTGTTTTTTTTTTGCGTTTAAAGAATAAGATGAAGAACGAGGAACAATCAAGATCTCTGTTTGGAATCTCTCTGTCTGATCGACCAACTTGGCAACAGTTTCTCATTTGCACTTCTGGTTTCTTTTTTGGATATCTCGTTAACGGAGTTTGCGAGGTTCGTCTATGATTCTCTCTCTGTTCTTTTATTTATAAATCTTTTCAGTTTATATTTGATTTCGAGAATCCCGAAATATTATCGATAACGTAGATCATTTTTTTGTTGGTATTTGAGATAATTCCCCATAATCTGCTCCTGATTCTCGCTGGAAATTCGTAATTTTGATGCATTTTTAAAAAGTCATTTGCATGCTAAGTGTTTGATGTTTAGTTTCTTAGAAAACAAAAAACAGAGCAAGAAGAAAATGCATGACGAACAACCTATATTTCAAAAATTCATATTATATTGCAGATCTTGTAAGATCACAACAAAAAAAGTTGTGGTCTTGTAAAGAAAACAGAGTTTGGAGAATTTATTGGATCTACCTTTTTTGATTAATTACTCATATATGATTTTTGACTTGATTTTGATTGAATTACAGGAATATGTTTATAATCGCCTTCAATTTAGGTAAAGTCAAATTTATTTCCTCTTAAATGTTTCGACTTTAACAAAATAAATAATAACAACTGGAATTGCTCTCTCTTGTAGCTTTGGTTGGTATTTCACGTTTATACAAGGATTTGTCTACTTGTTCCTAATCTATCTTCAAGGCTTCACCACAAAGCATATTGTGAATCCGATGAGAACTTATGTCAAACTCTCTGCTGTTCTCATGGGATCACATGGATTAACCAAAGGATCTTTGGCTTATCTCAATTATCCAGCTCAAATCATGTTCAAATCCACCAAGGTAAATCCTCAATTTCTCAAATTACAATCTCAAGGAGCTTAATGCAGCTAAGTGTATAGACAAATGATCGAAAGGACGGATCTTTCGTTGGGGGTTTTAGGTATTGCCAGTGATGATAATGGGAGCATTCATACCCGGTCTGAGAAGAAAATACCCTGTCCATGAATACATTTCAGCGTTCTTGCTGGTTCTTGGTTTGATCCTATTCACATTAGCAGACGCACAAATGTCTCCGAATTTCAGTATGATCGGTATCTTGATGATAACTGGTGCATTGATCATGGATGCTTTCTTGGGTAATCTGCAAGAAGCTATATTCACAATGAATCCCGAGACAACTCAGGCAAGAGACACAATCAATAAAACCCGGTTCTTTTCTTTTACCGTTCTGTTTTGTTTCACGTCTGAGATTCCTTGTGTTGTATATTTTTTGCAGATGGAGATGCTTTTCTGCTCAACTGTTGTTGGATTGCCTTTCTTGTTCGTTCCCATGGTCTTAACCGGAGAGCTTTTCCGTGCGTGGACTGCTTGCTATCAAGTAAGTCCAAACCTCTGTTTTTTTTCCGGTTTGGGTTTTGGTGAACTTTTTTACCAAACCAAATTCTGGTTTTCGGTTTATAAAGCACTTATGCAATAGTCCATTTGAAGCAAAGTGACATAGAGTGGACTTTGTATTGGCTTTGAATGTTCTTGGTTCTTCAAATCAGAGTAAGGTTTGGTTCAAATTAGACTTTATGAAAAAGTCAAAATTTGTCGGATTCAGCTTGGTACCGTCGAAATGAAATCATTGACCGACGTGCCTAAATCTGCCAACTTTCTAAAAGCCAGTATTTCTTTTTATAAGAATGATATTAAATTCATTGAATTCATAACTAAAGTACCAACGTGTAATACTTTAGTCAAACGGTTTAATTATTCGTTAGTTGATATTATTTAAAATCTAACTCTTCTTTTGTTTACTGTTTTTGCAGCATCCATATGTGTATGGAGTGCTTGTATTCGAAGCCATGGCCACATTCATAGGTCAAGTCTCTGTTCTATCGCTCATTGCTCTCTTTGGAGCCGCTACAACCGCTTTGGTAAGTCTCTAATCTTATAGACAAACGCTCACTTGCGTTTTGCTAACTGAAAATACGTTCCAAAATCGCATTTACGATTTAACAACGTTTTGTGTAGATAACTACGGCGAGGAAAGGAGTTACGTTGTTGCTGTCTTATTTAATATTCACGAAGCCGTTAACGGAGCAGCACGGATCGGGCTTGTTGCTGATAGCAATGGGGATTGTGTTGAAGATGGTTCCAATGGATAGTAAACCTCCGACCAAGATTCCGGCGAGATCAGCGGTTAGGATCGCCGGAGGAGATGGTGATAGAGAAGAGGAAGAAGAGAGGAAGTCATTGGTCTGAAAATGTGATTATATAAATTATATTTATGTCAGAAATTATAAGGGTTCATACTTCATAGAATAATGTTGGATGAAGAAAATACAACAGGGAAAAAAAAAAGCAAATAGAGTTAAAAAAAAAGGTGGTTTTATTTTGCCCAATTACATATCTCAGAAAGTTGTTATAAGATCTTAAAGTCGAATAGAATTACTATTAAAACTGTTAAATTGGTTTTATACGATGTTTGTTATCAAAAGTAAAGGGAAGCATTAAAAGCCTCATGAGAGAACCTGACTTTGGTTTTATGCTCTAAGAGATTTGTCACATGTTGGAAAGTAGAAGCAAACTCTACAGACTACATTCTAAAAGATGAAAATAGAAACGGATCTGTGAAGAACTGAGTCCATCTAAGATCCACCTATTTCTTTATCTGATCTACGAATAACAAAACGATCGACGATTTTTACAGTGTTGATAGGATCCTGTTGCAGTGTTGTTGCACACCATTTGCTTGGAAACCTTCTGTGATGACTCATCTTCACTGTCGGTCTCGGCTCTGAATCCCAGTCCTTGTCTAGCTTCCATTCCTTTGGCACCTTGACTCATTAAGCACATACACTCCTCTGGTTGTTAAAAGAACAATCACACACAAAGAACAATAAGAGTTGTTGTCTTACTCACCTTATCTACTCCGAGAGTGAAGACTTCAAGGTCTCCATCAGGTTTGATGTGGAAACGGGTAAATGATTTGTAATTGGCGATCCGGAGTGAAGAGAATGCTTCATCAAAGTGTATGTGAAGCCAGTTGATGCATATATATAAGTAACTTCCAAAAACCAAAGACACAACAGGAGTTGAGAAGACCCAAAAGTAGAGGAAGACAGAAGCATAATATATGGCTGCTCCACTTCGAGAAAGCGTCTCCATTCCTTCTCGGCAGATGTTTGTCCGTGTTACCGCCATCACCTAATGTTTACATACTTTCAACGTTTGGTTGCAATATATATTTAAGGATAAGTTGACAAGAATACATTACCTCAGGAATATCAAATGCTGACATAAGATACTTGATGCAGGCAGGGTAAAATCCAAACGTCCACTGTTCGATACGGGCTCTAAGGCCAGTGGGGTCTGGAAAGTGTTCATTTTCCACTGATTTGTACCATTGATACAATGTATGATAACCTGTGTTAACCAAGAGTTCCAAAAATGTCAGATTTATATTATAGTTTGATCACAGATGCTATAAAGATCAATTTTGTTATACATTAGTGTCAATGACATTGTAATGTGGAATGCCAAACAACATTATCTGGGAAGGAAAACTGACCGGAGGTCGCAAGGAGCTGATGTTGAATACAGATTTCAATGCCGAGTTCTAACAGCAACATAAGAATCAAAGCAGCCGTCAGGTGTGCAGCAACATGAAGAATTCCAATTACCAGTCGTTTCTTCCGAGATATTTTTGAGGGAACAAACATAATCGCAGTTATTAGCAGCATAAGAACACCGGTGAAAGACACGTATGACTGCTCTGTAACGTACACAAAGGCGGTCCAAACTGTGCCAAAGAAACTCCTCAAGTGGCCAGAAAATGAATCACCTCTTAAGATGTGGCCTAGCTTACACTGAAAACCAACAAGGAATGAAGATTAAGACTTTCTAATGAGCAGTGCACACAATGCTACAGATATGCAAGACAATGTCCAATTGTCTGTATCTTCATAGGAAAACAAAGGTTTAAGAAAGTCAAAGCTGTGTAAAACTGCACCTGAGGGAACAAGGAAAAGACCAAGAGAAAGTATATGATGCCACCAATAAAATCAAATTGCCAGTTCTTTTTCCTGAACTTTAAAATGTTTCCCAAAGCAATCTGCAAAGAACATCATACAACAATAAACCTCTGAATCACCAAAGAAAACAAGGCAAATCAGTGGTCAGGCGATAAGAGGCCACAGAAGTAAAAAAATCTACCTTGCTTGAATCACCAAAGGAAGGGTAAGCAGATTTACTTTCATAAGAAGCACCATAAAACTTTGAAAATTTGCTGAACACATGGGTGGGGTGCAAAAAAGCCCCTCCACAACCATTAACAAGGAGATGTTGAACATGAGCAGGTCCATCTGATTGAGTACACGAATGGCGCATATAATGATGCAAATCTCCTGCCATTCTAAGTTTACACCTGTCTTTTAAAAAGTCGCAAATCAGATGTCTCATGTTCTTTCCAGTATCGTCTTTCCAATACCAATCAAGAAGCCAGTTCGGCTCATGTGTGATAACGATCACCGCATCATTTTTCCCAACCTAAATGAAAAGATAAAATCGTTCATTAAAGCAAAAACCTGAGAGTTGAATCAAACAGAAGCAAACAACTATAATAAATCAAAACCAAGGGCATTACACAAACCAACGTAAAAGCAATATCACAGAACATAAGTTGTATACAAAAGAATAAAAGAGCTGGAGTAGATGGAAAGTAGTATATTTTGTATAGCATCTGCAGAATCTATCTAGCAGGAGAAAGAAAGACGATGCTGAATCTACCTTCTCCTTCACTAATTCAGAAAAGAAATTGAACTGGTACACATCAATATCACCATGAAGAGCGAGATCCAAACCAAACACCCACCATCCTTCAGGTAGTTGCAGGGCGAAATAGCTTTTCTTTTGGGGCATAAACCAGCCACCAAGCCAACTTTTATGGCATATATACCTCATGAAAGTATTGAGTCCATCAAACCAATCTAAAAAATGTTAAAAAATAACATGAAAATTAGAAGCATTACCCAAAACAAAGTACGCATGCTAGCATGTGAAACATTTTACTAGAGAGAGAAATCAAGTAGAGAGCTGAAACCCACCATGGTTTCCAGGGATGAGAAAACATTGAGGACCATCATAATGCTTCAGTTCAGACACTCCATCCGGTAATTCAGGCTTGTCAACAGAAATTGAGTCCTTTTTATACCAATGAGGAGGTTGGAGCGCATACTCAAAAGGACAAAACAGACGTTTCTCATACGTAAACGCTGATGGATTGGGGTATCTGCAATAAGAAAGGCATCCATTCGGTTACATTCAGACCTGACAACAAAAAAGAAGGCATCCATTAGGTAGTGAAAGAGAAATCTTACGCAAGATCTCCCCCAATAAGCAGCAGGTTACCCCTTTGTAGAGACACAAAATCATCATTCAGCGGGACTTTGAGAAAAGGCTGAGCAAGAAGTTTTGCGACAGAATATGATGGATTCCCACCATCACCAGTATCCGCCATGAAGTCAAACCAGAAATCATTCTTGCCAGCTAAATGATCATATAATAGTTCCATTCTCTTGTCTCCATCACAATTTCTTGTCATTGCAGCCTACAGATTTAAGAATTGGGAAAGGTTACAAAAAGTGCAATATTACAAGAAGAGCAAACCGCAGAAAGATAGAGGATCTGATCATATCGTATCACCAGAAACAAAAGTTTACCTGCATCATCCGCATGTCAAAGCGGCCAAGAAACACAGTCACTGATACGAGGAGATCAAACACAGTTTTAAACAAATCAGCTGATGTTCTGAAATAAATAATTATAGAAATCAGATGAGATCAAATTCGCATTGCGTCGAAGAAAACATCAGTAGATAATAACATATATAAACAAGATAAAATTTAGTTGACATGGACGTACCCTGAATACCAAGGAACCATATCCAAGAAATTAGGTTTCATTTGTTGCTTCTTCAGCTTCTCATAATTGTCAACAGACACAGGGTGTGCCAGAGCCCACCTAACCGTAAAATTAACATAAGACCAATAATTGTTCTGTATGTGTTGTTGACGTTTTTACTAGCAACATTCACTCAATAAATACAATGCCAAAGCAGCCACTTACCCTGTTGATCTCTCCACTACATAATTGGCAATGTAAAGACCAATAAACGTTGCCCACAACGAGTATATAGGAGAAATTTCATCAGATGAATCAGGACAAGACCCATTGCACGCCAGCTGGAAACGAAAAAGTGGGAATACAACAGAGAGTTGTCACATAAACGCTTACACGACAAGTTAGAATAATACAAAAGAAGCCATACCTCCCCATAAATGACCCATTTGGACAATAGCGGATAATCACTAGCAGATCCAACAGGAGCAAACCATGATGAGCAGACTTGGTCTTTAAGCTCATCAATATGAATGAATTTCGCAAGCCAAGTACTGTTGCTAGAATGACTTCTTTCAAGGGGAGTTTGCCTTAGAAAAGCACGATTACCACAATGGCTGTAGAAAATACAGCACGCCATGCTAAGAACCTGCACAAGATAATGGACACTGAAATTTGATTTTCAATGAAAATAATGGTTTTAAGCAAGTGACTTCGATGTACAAGAGTCGAGCGTACTCACAGCACAGTTTTGAAATACGGTTAAGATCTCAGGGCGTCTTCCAGCCACACGAGAGACAAGACCGATATACCAAAATCCAAGAAAAACAATGTGGAAGACAAGAAGGAAGACTATGGATGAGATGTAAATTGTTAGAAAAAGGGACAAATTCATCCTCAAATCCAAACCCATTGACTGAAAACTTGGGAGATGGTACAAAGCTGCAACTAAAATCCAAGCAATGTACCTACACAACAAAGCAAAAAGGATTGGAAACACTCAAGAGCAAAAAGTTCAAAACTTTATGGAAGAAAAAGGGCTTGCTTACCACCGACTGAAGATTGAGTAGTTTGGTCGGATAGTCTTTCCGATGAATGGAGATGAAAAGAAATAGAAAAATCCAAGCAAACAGGCGTACATGGACCACCACTTGAAATTGTTGTCCAGCTTCTCTACGAGGGTGTGCATGTTATCCGACGAAATAAAGAATATGCAACCAAAAACCACAGCAATCATAGCATGGCGTGAGTGCTCGTGAGGATAAGGGTAAGTCTGTGTTAGAATCGTTCTGACCCTCTCCATTTTGAGGTTATTGAGCAAACGAGCAGAATGCTTATCAGAGCCCATTGCTTGAGGTTCCTTGAGTCCCAAAATCTTGACAGAACTAAAGAAAGAAACAAGAAAAGGATACATTAAGCACAGTGTGGTCTAATGGTGGAACAGTAAATCATGAAGGAAGTTTTGATGACATTGAATTGCAAATAGTGGAAGAAAACA